TAGAATACACCGAAAAGTGTAGAAAAAAATTGACTCCTAGATCCGAGTAGAGGAAGACCATTTTTATGACCAAAAACGCATCCGAAAGCATAAAAAACTTACCAAAAAAATTCAATTTTTCTTAGGCAGACGATTTTATTGCATATTCATCCTAAGAATACACCGAGAAGTGTAGAAAAAATTTGACACCCAGATCCGAGTAGAGGAAGACCATTTTTATGACCATAAACGCATCCGAAAGCATAAAAAACTTACATAAAAAATTCAATTTTTCTTAGGCAGACGATTTTATTGCATATTCATCCTAAGAATACACCGAGAAGTGTAGAAAAAATTTGACACCCAGATCCGAGTAGAGGAAGACCATTTTTATGAACAAAAACGCATCCGAAAGCAAAAAAAACTTACGAAAAAAAATTTAGTTTTTCTTAGGCAGACGATTTTATTGCACGTTCATGCACAAAATACACCGAAAAGTGTAGAAAAAAATTGACACCCAGATCCGAGTAGAGGAAAACCATTTTTATGACCAAAAACGCATCAGAAAGCATAAAAAACTTACCAAAAAAATTCAATTTTTCTTAGGCAGACGATTTTATTGCATATTCATACACAGAATACACCGAAAAGTGTAGAAAAAAATTGACACCCAGATCCGAGTAGAGGAAGACCCTTTTTATGACCAAAAACGCATCCGAAAGCATAATAAACTTACCAAAAAAATTCAATTTTTCTTAGGCAAACGATTTTATTGCATATTCATACACAGAATACACCGAAAAGTGTAGAAAAAAATTGACACCCAGATCCGAGTAGTGGAAGACCCTTTTTATTACCAAAAACGCATCCAAAAGCATAAAAAACTTACCAAAAAAATTCAATTTTTCTTAGGCAGACGATTTTATTGCATATTCATGCAAAGAATACACCGAAAAGTGTAGAAAAAAATTGAGAACCAGATCCGAGTAGAGGAAGACCATTTTTATGACCAAAAACGCATCCGAAAGCATAAAAAACTTACGAAAAAAATTCAATTTTTTTAGGCAGACGATTTTATTGCATATTCATCCAAAGAATACACCGAACAGTGTAGAAAAAAATTGACACTCAGATCCGAGTAGATGAAGACCCTTTTTATGAACAAAAACGTACCAATAGCAAAAAAAACTTACGAAAAAAAATTTAGTTTTTCTTAGGCAGACGATTTTATTGCACGTTCATGCACAAAATACACCGAAAAGTGTAGAAAAAATTTGACACCCAGATCCGAGTAGAGGAAGACCATTTTTATGACCAAAAACGCATCCAAGAGCATAAAAAACTCAACAAAAAAATTCAATTTTTCTTAGGCAGACGATTTTATTGCACATTCATGCACAGAATACACCGAAAAGTGTAGCAAAAAATTGACTCCTAGATCCGAGTAGAGGAAGACCCTTTTTATGAACAAAAACGTACCAAAAGCATAAAAAACTTACCAAAAAAATTCATTTTTTCTTAGGCAGATGATTTTATTGCATATTCATGCAATGAATACACCGAAAAGTGTAGAAAAAAATTGAGACCCAGATCCGAGTAGAGGAAGACCATTTTTATGACCAAAAACGTATCCGAAAGCATAAAAAACTTACCAAAAAAATTCATTTTTTCTTAGGCAGACGATTTTATTGCATATTCATGCACAAAATACACCGAAAAGTGTAGAAAAAAATTGACACCCAGATCCGAGTAGAGGAAGACCTTTTTTATGACCAAAAACGCATGCGAAAGCATAAAAAACTTACCAAAAAAATTCAATTTTTCTTAGGCAGACGATTTTATTGCATATTCATGCACTAAATACACCGAAAAGTGTAGAAAAAAATTGACACCCAGATCCGAGTAGAGGAAGACCCTTTTTATGACCAAAAACGCATCCGACAGCATAAAAAACTTACGAAAAAAATTCAATTTTTCTTAGGCAGACGATTTTATTGCATATTCATCCAAAGAATACACCGAACAGTGTAGAAAAAAATTGACACTCAGATCCGAGTAGAAGAAAACCCTTTTTATGACCAAAAACGCATCAAAAGCATAAAAAACTTACCAAAAAAATTCAATTTTTCTTAGGCAGACGATTTTATTGCACATTCATGCACTAAATACACCGAAAAGTGTAGAAAAAAATTGACACCCAGATCCGAGTAGAGGAAGACCATTTTTATGACCAAAAACGCATCCGAAAGCATAAAAAACTTACCAAAAAAATTCAATTTTTCTTAGGCAGACGATTTTATTGCATATTCATGCAAAGAATATACCGAAAAGTGTAGAAAAAATTTGACACCCAGATCCGAGTAGAGGAAGACCATTTTTATGACCAAAAACGCATCCGAAAGCATAAAAAACTTACCAAAAAAATTCATTTTTTCTTAGGCAGACGATTTTATTGCATATTCATGCACAAAATACACCGAAAAGTGTAGAAAAAAATTGACACCCAGATCCGAGTAGAGGAAGACCATTTTTATGACCAAAAACGCATCCGAAAGCATAAGAAACTTACAAAAAAAATTCAATTTTTCTAAGGCAGACGATTTTATTGCACATTCATGCACAGAATACACCGTAAAGTGTAGAAAAAAATTGACTCCTAGATCCGAGTAGAGGAAGACCATTTTTATGACCAAAAACGCATCCAAGAGCATAAAAAACTCAACAAAAAAATTCAATTTTTCTTAGGCAGACGATTTTATTGCACATTCATGCACAGAATACACCGAAAAATGTAGAAAAAAATTGACACCCAGATCCGAGTAGAGGAAGACCATTTTTATGACCATAAACGCATCCGAAAGCATAAAAAACTTACATAAAAAATTCAATTTTTCTTAGGCAGACGATTTTATTGCATATTCATCCAAAGAATACACCGAGAAGTGTAGAAAAAATTTGACACCCAGATCCGAGTAGAGGAAGACCATTTTTATGACCAACAACGCATCCGAAAGCAAAAAACTTACGAAAAAAAATTTAGTTTTTCTTAGGCAGACGATTTTATTGCACGTTCATGCACAAAATACACCGAAAAATGTAGAAAAAAATTGACACCCAGATCCGAGTAGAGGAAGACCATTTTTATGACCATAAACGCATCCGAAAGCAAAAAAAACTTACGAAAAAAAATTTAGTTTTTCTTAGGCAGACGATTTTATTGCACGTTCATGCACAAAATACACCGAAAAATGTAGAAAAAAATGGACACCCAGATCCGAGTAGAGGAAGACCATTTTTATGACCAAAAACGCATCCGAAAGCATAAAAAACTTACCAAAAAATTAATTTTTTCTTAGGCAGACGATTTTGTTGCATATTCATGCACAAAATACACCGAAAAGTGTAGAAAAAAATTGACTCCTAGGTCCGAGTAGAGGAAGACCCTTTTTATGAACAAAAACGTACCAAAAGCATAAAAAACTTACCAAAAAAATTCATTTTTTCTTAGGCAGACGATTTTATTGCATATTCATGCAAAGAATACACCGAAAAGTGTAGAAAAAAATTGACACCTAGTTCCGAGTAGAGGAAGACCCTTTTTATGACCAAAAACGGATCCAACAGCATAAAATACCTACCAAAAAGTTGTAAAATCAGATGTTCATTACATGAACATTTTGCTTCCTCTTTACGATCAGCAAAAAAATTTGCTTCCTCGTGGAGAAATCAAAATTTTATTGACAAAATGTGAATTTTTGATTTTTAACTTTCATTAATTTCTTTAAATTTACCTCAAATGTATACTTTATATATCTATTAATTCGTCTTCACGTAAGCAATACAATTACTTTATATATAAACTTCAATTTAGAAAATCACAAAATTTTATAGCCAAAATGTGAATTTTTGATTTTTAAACTTTCGTTTATTCTTTAAATTTACCTCAAATGAATACTTTATATATATCGATCGATTTGACTTGATGTAAAGAATACGATTTTATTATATATAACCTTAAATTTTTCTATTTAAAAATTTTTTCGATTAAAGAAAAATTTTTGGAAAAAAGACCATAAAATTTTTTTTTTTGAGTATTTTTTAAAATCATTTGGTGAGATTTGAGATATTAATATGATAAATGAGCCTACTAAATTTTATCTAAATCCTTTAAAACCTGTTAAAGTTATCTTCTAAACAAAAAATGGATCCTCACATACATACGTACACTCACACATACATATACCGGGACAATTGATCAGGATCTCATATAACATGTTTCTATAAAGAAAAAAATTTGTTTCCGCCACTTTGAAAAGTTTTATAAACGAAAGGACTACAAAGCTGCCTCCACGAGGAAGCAAAAACGCCATTTTTGAGTGAAAATTTAAAATGCTGGAGTATTTCCGACTTCATATTCGTAATCTACGTGAAAAAGCCTATGAAAGTCATGTATCACTTTATTTTTCTAACTTGTAAATGTTAATAAAAAAAAAAACATAAATGAATAATTGGACTAAATGTACTGGTTGTAGTTCTAGGTATGCAGGATCTTCGGTAGTTCTAGTGTTAACTTACATTTACATGAAGATGAAATTTTTTTTGGAAATCAGGTAAAATCATCAATTCCAGGTCCACATAATAGTTCTTCCACAGATGAAGCTGCTTCCTTTTCAGCCTATATATCCTATTCAATTTTCACCGGATCATCTTAAAATTTTGTAAATCGATTTTTTGAAAGTTACTACTGGTTGTGCCCCCTTACGATTTACTGATTTAGAATTTTTAGCAACAAGATTATTTATGTCATAATTCAGTTTAATTTAATGTTTTTAGAGAACCTACAAAAAAAGATGACAAATTTTAAATTGTTCTTGTTTCTTTTGGCAACCGTTGGATACTCTATAGAAAATTGCAGAGCATGGACCACTGCCAATAGTCCTTGTGAACCAGATGGAACTCCATGTCAACCTGATGGAAGTACAAATTGTTGAACAACATTCTGTTACAAGCAATTGGGATGGTCTATAGGGTATTGTAGAACTCGAACTATTGGTCCTTGTGCACCGGATAGAACTCCATGTCAACCTGATGAAAGTACAAATTGTTCTTCAGAATTTCGTTACAAACAAGTAAGATGGGATATTGCAAATACCGCTAAATGAACAACAGAATGTTGCTACAATGCTTAAATTATAAACAAGCCTCTTGTTAATATTAATGTAATTGTTGAAATTATAGAAGCACAACATTGATTTTGATGTAATTTGACCTGGACTGCGACATCTTTATAACTTAAAAACATCTTACTTTCAGTTATTATTAAAGCCTTTATTCAAAATGTAAACGAAAGTAAAAATTGTTATTAGAAATTTGGCATAGACTGCTGGGTAATCTTGCAGGGGAATCAAGGGTCTCATGTGTATAAGCAGGATGCAACAAATATTCCAATGTTTAAATATACAAAAGTGATATACAGGTTTTATGATTGTCATATCCTTTCTATTTTCTGAATTACCTACTGTATTCAGAAGAATAAGGCAGAACGTGTACATGGACTTAAAGGTGAGTTCGGAATATATTTTAAAGTAAATTAAAAATATTTTATGAACTATCCTTTGCATTTTTCCAGTGAATTTACATTGATTACTTCCAGGAAGTTAACACCGAAAAGAAAAATTGGGCGACATTTACAGATTCATGGAACTTAACTGAGTTTTTTTAAATCGAAAAAAAATAACGCCAAAATGAAAATTACAGGAAGTCTTCATTACACTAACAACTTCATTCATGATTTTTTTCAGGGTTGAGAAACAGGAAGAACATGTTTAAAAGGTAAAATTAATTTTTATTTTTTAAATAAATAAATTAATATTTTATATTGGCAATAGTTTTTGTTCAAAATTTTCAACATTTTTAGAGAAAAAAAAACATTTAGAACTTTTTTTGTAGGATCAAAAGAACATATACGAAAAAGAAAAAAATGTTACAATAATTTTTTAACCCCTTCGCAGTCTAGTAGAAAAATTGTTTATGGGGCCAAAACGGTCCAAAAAAAAGTTTCCAAAAAAATATCATATCATTGTATTAAAAGTTTTTTGGGTCGCTGAATCAAAATTTAAGGTCAGATTAAAAAAATTCAAAATGGCTGTCCCAATATGGCAGAAAATTTTAAAGTTGATTCGATTCGTTCCAAATGCGGTACTTGGAGGTTTTTGTGTTGCTAAATCCAAATTTCAGGTCAAATTTGGATTCAGCGACCTTGAAAACCCCCGAGCACCGAATTTTGAACGAATCGAATCAATTTTAAAATTTTTTACCATATTGGGTCGCCATATTAGATCCGCCATTTCAAATTTTTTAAATCTGACCTCATTCAGCGACCCAAAAGTGAAGGTAAATCTGAGACATCATATATTGTTCTTATATGAAGGCCACCATGTATATGAGTTAAAAAGAGTTTTTTTTATCATTTATTCTTACGTGTAATAAACCAAAATTACTTAAAACATTTAGATAATATTTAAAATAATTCTTTAATTTTTTTTGTAAAATATACTTAAATAAATAAAATTTATAATTACTGGAATTTTTGTCATCAGAGAATGCAAATTCTCCAGTAGAGTAATATTATCAGCCAATCAACGTCTGGCGTTCTGTGTTTCCCCTAACCTTCAGGGTCGTGCCACAGAAAAAAACTGTACTCAAAATGAGTACGAAATCATACTCATTTTGATATGCAGCAAAAATGATAACGCTCTTATTCATTTTGAGTTTTTAGTGAAAAAATATCTTTCTTTCTGTTTAAATGGCCTCTTGTATTAACAGGTAGCCAGTACATGTGAAAAAAGTATAAAAATGAACAACGTCAGTTTCATTTTGAGTAAATGTTTAACTATGAATTATAGATAAATAACAAATGATTATTTAATTTAAAATAGGGTAAATGCAGTAATTACGGCGAGATTCGAGTCAAAACACCTTTGAAATAGAAAATTCGACATTTCTATTGTATAAACTCAATTTAAGACTTATTAAACTCAAAGCTTATTCTGCCGTGTGATATAAAAACTTAGTTAACTGACATTTTGACGAAAAATGAGTTTTTGGTATCAATGAACTCGTAAGAAAAAGCTGCGTCTAATAGTTATAGTTTAAATAATTTTTGCAAATTATTGTTTATAAAAAATAGTTATTAAAAATCTTAAAAACTCCAGAAAATAAAAGAATATTTGATAAAAAGTTAAGGAAAGTACTTTGCGTAGTCCAAAAAACAAATGAGGCTGCGAGCTCGAATATAAGATTTCAAGGAAAAACTTAGTCAAAGGCAGTTGTGTGTTTTTTGTATGAAATAAGTAGTCGAGTCTGAGCGTTGGATTTTAAATAAAAACCTCACATTTGCAGCGCTTGCAATTAGCTAAGTTCTTCCATCAAAAATTGAGTCGAGTCAGAGCCGAACGACTACTTAACTGCAATTCGGCTAAACTCGGATTGTCCTCGGGTCGCAGGCAGTAAGCTGCTGTTTCCCTTGCTTCTGTCAAAACTTCAACTCAGAGGTTATGTTTAGCGGAATGAAAAGTGTATCAAGTTGAAATTGAGAAATAAAAAACGAAGAAAATTGTAAGTAAAATTAACTCAGACGTTCTTTTTTTAATGTTTTTAAACTTAATAATAAAGATTGTTCATATCATTTCAGTAGTTTAAACGTATATTATTATTATCATTATTCAAAATTAACATTGTCTAATTAGTTCTTATTTGGTGAAAATTTATTTGCAGTGTTCATGTACTTTTAAAATGATTTGTGAATTCGTAAAACGTATTATAGAACTGTTGCAACTGTCCCCGTACCACATGACGTCACTGCAGTTAGCTAAGTTCTTCCATGAAATCAGCAGACCGAGCTCGCGTACCTATTTCGTGGACACTACGCAAAGGACTTTCCCAAACTTTTTACTTCATATTTGCATTCGGAAAAACACACAAGTGCATTATTTCATATAATTTGTTTAAATAATTAATTTTTTATTTCATAATTAAATAGAGCACCATCATTATACCAAGTATGTGAAGTTAAATTTAATAATTTTTTAATTCTTATTAGTTTTCTGAAAGCAAACAGTTTTTCCCTATTTTCTCGCTTCGACATAAATGTCAGTTAACCAAGTTCTTATATCACACGGCAGTTATGTTATTAAGATATTAAAAAAAAATTTTAACTCTATAAAAATCGATTATTTAAACAAATATGAGAAATTAAAACTAATACCGTAATTTTCTATTGCGGCGAGTTTGTATCAGTTTCGGTGTATCAATTTCGGTGACCAAAATTACGTGTATTTTGAAGATACTTTGCCCGCCGAAATTGAAGCCAATGGAAATCTTAAAAATGTTTCAATTGCGGCGCGGAAAAAAATTTGATCTCAAATAATTAAATTAATAATTGTTTAAATGTGCATCTTTATAAGTATTTGTATCAAAAAAAGATTGAAATAATTTTTTTTAATCATTTGGCAACAGTTATATTAAATATAATAGTAATAATAGTTATTTTTTATGAACGCGCCGTTATTGGTGCACTCGCCGTAATTAGTACACTTACCCTAGTACTAAAACAATTGTTTTTCATAAATAAACACTTTTAAACTAAAAAGACTTTAATTCTTAAAGTCAATTTATTATTATTTATAAAATAAAATAAATCAAGTTTTAGGTTAAGAAACATATGAAATGACAGGCAGTAGTACCAACTGCGTTAACATGAAGTAGAGAAAGAAAGCGCTATAACCAAAAGTAATGGCGCCTTATTTAAAAAATTTGAAAGTAAAATATTGTTTACGAAACAAAATGATATTGTGTTAAATTTTTTTCACATTAATTAATAAATAAAAAAAATTATCTTTAAAAATTTTAACAAATAAATTTTAATTCTTAAAATCACTGTTTTGTGATCAATAAACTAATAAAAAATTATAAATTCAATATATGTGATTGATGTATAGTTTTTCTTTGGATCTATAATTTTTAGTAGAAGTTCTTTTTTTTATTTGAAAAAAATCCATCGTTAATGGACGAAAAGCTTTGCTTTTTTTGTAATAAACGAAATGATTATTTTAAAATATTATAATATTATAAAATTGAGTTTTTATTATTTAAAAATTCTTATGTATAATATATTTAAAATAAAAATAAATTTATATTAATATATAATTAAATTAACTCATAATTATTAATATTATTAATATAATATTATAATATGAATAATAATAATAATAATTATTATTATTATTATAAACAACTTTAATAATAATGTGATAAAATTTTTTTCGATAGAAAATAAAAACTTTAATAATATTTTTAATATTTTAACATTAACTGCAATGCTAATAATTTTTTTTTATTCAATATTTATAAAAAATTTTAGATACATAAATTGTATTCTATAATTTTGGTTTATTACGTTTAAATTACTTTGTTCTTTCATCCTCAGATGGCGCACTATGAAATAGTTCACAGTAAGTACCAACATAATAGTGGTAAACAATTTTATCTAGCATAACCTGACATTTGATACTAACCAGTTTCATTTTGAGTAACGTGAAGTTTGCCGTTTACTCATTTTGATAATTTACTCAAAATGATAAGCAGCAAAAATGAGTACAGTTTTTTTTCTGTGTGCGCCACTTCCAATACAGAGAATTTAGTTTCAACCAATCAATGATCGGTGTTCACAGCGGAAATAGATTTTTAAATTTTTTTTATGAAACTGAAACTAGCACTTAGTCATTAGTCACAAGTTAATTTTGAAGAAGTTCATGTGAGTAAGAACAAAAAATAAAGTTAATAAAATTAACTCTATTAATAAAATAATAACATAAAGTAAAATTAATAGAGTTAATTTTAATAACTTTATTTATATTATTGCTAACATAAATTTTTTCAAAATTTACTCGATGAGCTAAATTTTTAAACGTTCAAATGAACGAAATTTTTTTTGCAACTTCTTTAAATATGAATTTTATTAGAAAATATTGTTCGAAATATCTGAAAAGAAGTTGATAATTTAATAATTGTTTAATTTACTGTATTATTTTACATCGCCATCAAAATTTTTAAAAATTTATTGATGGAAAAAAATATTTCAGAATATTTCAAAACTCTTGGCTCATTTAACTCGGGGCTGATAACTAAGTCCCAGTTACAGTTTCATAATTTTTTTCTAAAATTATCTAATCAATGTACTGTAAATAATTACATGTGAATTTCCCCGAAAATTAAAATATAAATTTTTTAAAATAGGATATTCTACTTGAAGGACATAACCTCTATTCTGGTCTTTTTTTAAAAATATTATTCTTCTTTTAGAAAGCCCCAAATTTCATTAGATAATTTAACTACATATTTATATAAAATTTAATTTTATATAATATATTTTTACATTATTTATTAAAGTAATATTTTTGTATGAATTTACTGCCATTGGAAACAATTTTGTAAGGAAATTGGACAGAAGTGTGAAAGTGGGGGTAAAAAAACTTAAAAAAAATGTGTGACGTAATTTATGAATGACCCCTTACAATAATTATTTCATTGATACACTTTATCTTTTTCAGCATATTTTAAAAAAATATGTTTAATATAATAAATTATAATAAACATACTGTGGATTTATTGTAATTATTTATATTATTTTTTATAATAATCATCATTGTTAAAGTGGAAAATAATAATTCTTATATTATTTATTGAATTTTCAGATAATTCCTAAAAAAAAGAAGTCAAAGACAACATCAGGAGATGTTGAAAATAATTCTAAATGGACATCGGAAAAAAATGCACTATAAATTATTAATAAAAATAATAATTTGGGTCATACGAAAATTCAAATTTAAATGGGTCCCGCGGAATTTTCAGGAGTGTAAAATAATCAGCCAATCAGCGTTTAAACTTCTGTGTTTCACCACCACCAACGTCGCGCGCCACTTCCATTCAGGAGGACTTATTTCCAACCAATCAACGCCCAGCATTCATAGCGGAAAGAGCGCCCCACCACTTCCATCGACACTTTTCGACTCTGCAGCCATTTAGTCCGCCATGAGCCACGTGCCGCAGAAGATGTCCTGAATTTTGGTGAGTTCTTCTCTTTTACGTAACCCTGATACCACCTCCCTTTCCAGGAAGTTAACCAGGTGAAGTTCCATACTTAATCTGTTAACTTCCAGTTAAATTCCATGCATGTCTAAATATTTCCCTTCTTTTTCTTTCCTTTGTTAACTTTCTGGTATTTATCAATTATTTACTAGAAAAGTACAAAGGATTTTTTTGTGAAATATTAAAGTCTAAAATTTAAAGCTTGTGGTTTTAAATTTTTTTTTATGAAACTGTAACTGGCACATGGCTATCAGCTCCGAGTCAATTTTGAAAAAATTTATGTTAGCAATAACATAAATAAAGTTAATAAAATTAATTTTATTAACTTTATTAATAATAAAATAAATTAATAATATAGTTAATAAAATTAATTTTATTAACTTTATTTTTGGTATTGCTAACATAAATTTTTTCATAATTAACTCGAGGCTGATAGCCATGTGCCAGTTACAGTTTCATAATTTTTTTTAAAGTATCCAATCAAAGTACTTTAAATAATAACATTTCAATTTCCTCGAAAATAAAAATATAAATTTTTTAAAAATGAGATATTTTACTTGAAGCAGACAACCTAGATCTTGTTTTTTTTAATATTGTTTCTTTAAATATTATTAATTTATTAAAAATTCATTAAACAAAGGAAATTGTTGTATACTTTGAATTAAATTTAGTTTCTTTGACGTCATTAAATTTAATACAAAATATTCACCTATTTTCCTTCGTTTGATGAATTTTTAATAAAATAATAATATTTCAAAGTAATAATAACAAAAAGAAACAAGAGGGGGTTGTCCGCTTCATTTAAAATGCCCTAAATATCATTAATTTAAATACATATTTATATGTAACCTGACCAGTGAAAAAGGGGCTTACGTGCGAAAATTTTTTTTTATTGATTAGTTATTCTGATAGAAAAAAGTTTTCTCTGTCAGAATCACCAATCAATAAAAAATCGATTTTTTCGCACGTAAGCCCCATTTTCACTGTTCAGGTCACATATAATATTTAATTATATATAATTAATTTTTACTTTATTTTTTAATTAATACTTTTGTATGAATATTCTTGTCTAAAGATAAATAAAATATGTACAGTAAAATAAATAAATACTTTTTTTACAGTCAAAAATATTAGTAAATAATAAAACTAACAATAAAATAATAATAAAGAATAATATTCATACAAAAATACTAAGTAATTAAATAAAGTAAAAAATATGAAATATATAAATAAATAATTTAAGAAAAGTAAAATAACTTAACAAACCGAGGAAATTCAAATGTAAATAAACATTTAAAGTACTTTGAAAAGATACTTTTAAAGAAAAATTTAAAACTATAAAGAATCTTTAAAACTTAAAAAGACTTTAAAATTTTAGAAAAAAATCCTCTGTATTTTTGTAGTAAATAAACAATTGATAAATACAAGAAAATTAAGAAAGGAAAGAAAAAAAGAAGGGAAGTATACATAGACATCCGTGGAAGATAACTGGAAGTTGCAGAATTAAAACAGGAACAGACCATGGTTGACCGAGAGGAAAGGGAACCGGTAGAAGGGAAAGTAAGAGAAAGACTCCACCAGAAGAAGGAATGGACGTTATAAATGAAGGACTACAACATGTACAAGATGAATTAATAAAATGTTTATTAAAAAAAATTTATCATAGTTATTCTTCGACAGTCTCCTGTGTCCTCCTCTCTCCTCCTTCGAACCAGGTGCCTCATGTCCTGAGATTTGGTAGAGTACTTCTTTTACTTCTCCTTTCTACCGGTTCCTTTTCCTCTCGGTCAACCATGGTCTGTTCCTGTTTTAATTCTGCAACTTCCAGTTATCTTCCACGGATGTCTACATATACTTCCCTTCTTTTTTTCTTTCCTTTCTTAAGTTTCTTGTATTTATCAATTGTTTATTTACTACAAAAATACAGAGGATTTTTTTCTGAAATTTTAAAGTCTTTTTAAGTTTTAAAGATTCTTTATAGTTTTAAATTTTTCTTTAAAAGTATCTTTTCAAAGTACTTTAAATGTTTATTTACATTTGAATTTCCTCGGTTAGTTAAGTTATTTTACTTTTCTTAAAGTATTTATTTGTATATTTCTTATTTTTTACTTTATTTAATTACTCAGTATTTTTGTATGAATATTATTCTTTATTATTATTTTATTGTTAGTTTTATTATTTACTAATATTTTTGACTGTAAAAAAAGTAATTCTTTATTTTACTGTACATATTTTATTTATCTTTAGACAAGAATATTCATACAAAAGTATTAATTAAAAAATAAAGTAAAAATTAATTAATGAATTAATTAATTAATTAATTAATTAATTATATATAATTAAATATTATATGTGACCTGAACAGTGAAAAGGGGGCTTACGTGCGAAAAAATCGATTTTTTATTGATTGGTTATTCTGACAGAGAAAACTTTTTTCTATCAGAATCACTAATCAATAAAAAAAAATTTTCGCACGTAAGCCCCTTTTTCACTGGTCAGGTTACATATAAATATGTATTTAAATTAATGATATTTAGGGCATTTTAAATGAAGCGGACAACCCCCTCTTGTTTCTTTTTATTATTATTACTTTGAAATATTATTATTTTATTAAAAATTCATCAAACGAAGGAAAATAGGTGAATATTTTGTATTAAATTTAATAACGTCAAAGAAACTAAATTTAATTCAAAGTATACAAATAATTTCCTGTGTTTAATGAATTTTTAATAAATTAATAATATTTAAAGAAACAATATTAAAAAAACAAGATGTAGGTTGTCTGCTTCAAGTAAAATATCTCATTTTTAAAAAATTTATTTTTTTATTTTCGAGGAAATTGAAATGTTATTATTTAAAGCACTTTGATTAGATACTTTAAAAAAAATTATGAAACTGTAACTGGCACATGGCTATCAGCCCCGAGTTAATTATGAAAAAATTTATGTTAGCAATAACATAAATAAAGTTAATAAAATTAATTTTATTAACTTTATTTATGTTATTGCTAACATAAATTTTTTCAAAATTAACTCGTGGCTGATAGCCATGTGCCAGTTACAGTTTCATAAAAAAAATTTAAAACCACAATCTTTAAATTTTAGACTTTAATATTTCACAAAAAAATCCTTTGTACTTTTCTAGTAAATAATTGATAAATACTAGAAAGTTAACAAAGGAAAGAAAAAGAAGGAAAATATTTAGACATGCATGGAATTTAACTGGAAGTTAACAGATTAAGTATGGAACTTCACCTGGTTAACTTCCTGGAAAAGGAGGTGGTATCAGGGTTACGTAAAAGAGAAGAACTCACCAAAATTCAGGACATCTTCTTCGGCACGTGGCTCATGGCGGACTAAATGGCTGCAGCGTCGAAAAGTGTCGATGGAAGTGGTGGGGCGCTCTTGCCGCTATGAATGCCGGGCGTTGATTGGTTGGAAATAAGTCCTCCTGATTGGAAGTGGCGCGCGACGTTGGTGGTGGTGAAACACAGAAGTTTAAATGCTGATTGGCTGATAATATTACTCTCCTGAAAATTCCGCGGGACCCATTTAAATTTGAATTTTCGTATGATCCAAATTATTATTTTTATTAATAATTTATAGTGCATTTTTTTCCGATGTCCATTTAGAATTATTTTCAACATTTCCTGATGTTGTCTTTGACCTCTTTTTTTTAGGAATTATCTGAAAATTCAATAAATAATATAAGAATTATTATTAATATTAATATATATTAATATTACTCTCCTGGAAATGCCGCGGGGCCTATTTAAATTCGAATTTCCCTATGATCAAAATTATTATTTTTATTAATAATTTATAGTGCATTTCTTTCTCATTTCTCTACAAAATTGTTTCCAATGACGGTATGGAATTATAAGAAGTTATATAAAATTGTTATTTTCAACTTTAATATTTATTATTAACAATAAAATAATTTTTTAAAAAATATATTTAAAGAAATAAAATCATATGGAGTATTTATTATATTTATAGTTTTTAATTAAAAGTGGAAGTGGCACGCTGGAGGTGGTAGAATACACATTTCGATCGGAACGTCGGGTGTCGATTGGTTGAGAATATTACTCTACTGGAAATGGCTGCAAAATCAACAAATATTTTTGAGTTTAACGATAATTATTATAAACAATAAAATAAGTAATCATGATAATATGCACGACATGTCCATAAATTACGTCACATACTTTTTTTACCTTTTCTTTAATTTTTAATTGTGAAAATTTCAATGGATCCTAAAAAATTTAACTAATAAAAATATTTTAAATAATTTAAATTGTTTTGAATTTGATCATAAGTTTCGTAAGAGATTTTCTTTCTAATGAAAACTAGTATTTTTTTTTTATTTAAACAAAATGATTTTTGTATTTTCAAAAGAAGTTGTTAAAAAAAATATATTTTTCACAACTTTAATGAATTTTAATTGTTGTACTATATGATGGTAACAAAATATCAAAATATGAACTTACTTTTTAAAAAATTATAGAGGGAATTGAAGTTTTGAGTTTTTGGATAACACACTGTTTTTTTCAAATCCGTATAATTTTTACAAAACTTTATAGATGAATAAATATAAAAATGGGAAAACTATGAATAGTGTAATTCTTTCCACCCTCCTCTATCATCCCTTAAATATTAATTGTTGATAAAGTTAAATATAATTTTTTATTAACAAATTTTTTTTTTTTATTTTATTCAGTAAATCCAAATTTATAATATAGATAGAAATAAATATATTGAAAAAAAATTTTTTAGCCAAAAAATGTTGCAAAAATTATGGTAAATTTTGTAAAACTAGAACAAAATATAGTGTCCGGTGACACGCGAAGAAGTTGAAGAATTCGATTGCGTCTAAGTAAAGAGTTCGACGGCGTTGTTCTTTTGCATTATTTCGAGTCTATAAAGCAACGATCTCTTCGTTCATCGAGTACAGTAACCCGTAAGCTTTTGATTTGAAAGTGAGTGGAAATTTTGAAACCAATTTTTTTACCACAATATTTCGAGACGTTAAAAAAAAAGACAAATACAATAATAAAAATTACAAATATTTTTACATTAAATACATACATATTTTATAAATATAAAATTTAATTAATCGATTTCTATTCATTTGTTTATCAATAATATTGCTAATAATTATATATCTCAATATATAAATTACAAAATTTAAATCAATTATAATACATATAAAAGACACTACTAAAAATTCAAAATACTTTACATCTGTTCTATAAAATATATATTTAAAAAATTTTTAATATTTGAATATAAAAATAGTAAAAAATATATAAAAATATAATATAATAAAAATTAGAAAAATTGATATTTAATTAGAAAAAAAATTCTTAATATAAAAGAAAGTGGAATTTTATGGATTGGTGGAAAACAGTGAAAATTATATTTAAAAAGGAAAAAAGTTTAATTTAATGAAGTTTTGTTGAATTTAACTAAAGTTGTGAATAAAAAAAAATTTGGTACAATGAATGCAATAAAAAAAAGATTGCAAACACTAAAGATCGAGAAAGATCTTGCTCTAGAAAGAGCGGATGCTTGCGATCAACAGTCTAAAGAAGCCAATAGACGAGAAGAAAAATTAATGGATGAAGTGTGTGCATTAATGAAAAAATTATCACAAATGCAACAGGATTTAAAAATCAATAAATCACAATTGATTCAATCTAATTTAAATTTAGAAAGAAAGGAGAGAGCTTTTATGATGGTGGGTTTATTATAATTTTTTTAGCCTAACATTTTTTTTTCAAAAAAAATTTAATTTAAATTTAAAAAAATGGATGGTGTAAAAAACTTTCGAATTTTTTTTATTGATCATACGTAAAAAATAATTCAAGTTTTTTTTTTTTTAATAATTTTTTCTTGTAAAGGCACAATCTGAATTGGCGATGCTAAATAGAAAAATGCAACAATGTATGGCAAATCTAGAAAAGTCTGAGGAACGTCGATTGGCTGCTCAAGCCAAACTTGCACAAGCTTTAGAAACTGCTGAAGATGCCAAAAGGTTTATACCAAATTTATAGAATATTGTTAAATATTTCAAAACTGAGTTATAAATTTAATAATAATGTTTTTAATAAAAAAAAAAAATTAAATAATTTTTTTCTTTGAAGAAAATTATCTTTGAAACAAGGAAATAATTTTTTATATCGAAAAAATATAAACTTAATTTTAAAAAACAGTTTTCTATGTTTTTTAATAATTATTTTCATATTGTATTATAGAATATGTAAAGTTTTGGAAACAAGAAGCAAACAGGATGAGGACAGAATGGACAATTTAACAGCACAATTGAAGGAAGCGAGAATAATTGCCGAAGATGCAGACAACAAATCAGATGAAATTTCACGAAAATTAACATTTGTTGAGGATGAATTGGAAATTGCTGAAGATAGAGTAAAATCCAGTGAAGCGTATGAAATATTTTTTGTTATTTCTCAAAGGAAAAAAAAACAAATAAATATAAATTCCATATATATCGAAGATATTATGATACAAAAAAATTTTATGCCAAAAAAAATTTATAGGGTGAGTTGGGGTAAATGGGGACAAGAGGTGTTGGAGCTTAATTTTCAGTTTTAAAAAATTAAGTTCAACGTCAATATTTTAACCTCAGATCACCTTCAAAACACGGAGAGACCGCCGGTTAGAAAAATTAGTAAAAAAATTTACAAGTAGCGGAAATAAGGTTACATTGTCAAACATTGCTGTAGGAAATCGAAAATTCTACTAGCAGCATACTTAATAAAACTGTAGACTATAGTAATTTCTATTCCAATTTGCGTGCAATTTTACTATAGTATACAGGTTTTATTAAGTATGCTGCTAATAGAATTTTCGATTTCCTACAGCAATATATGACAAAGTAACCTTATTTCCGCTACTTGTAAATCTTTTTAGTAATTTTTCCAACCGGCGGTCTCTCCGTGAAGGTTCTGAGTATTGTCAAGCTTTTATCTTGACAATTTGCAGCAAGATAATTCAAGTTATCGCTCAATGCATAAAAACTTGAAAATTAAAGTCAAACTGTTTCAATATTTTGTCGAGCATTTCAAAGAAAATAGGCTTAAAAATCATACAAAATTTTTTTCTTATTCCTTATGACTCCTGTAACAGAAATCCACTTGAATTTTTGATTTTTGTCAATTTGGTTAATAATAACAAGCTGTCCCCATTTACCCTGAGTTTTCAAATTTTTGGGGTAAATGGGGACAGCTTGTTATTATTAACTAAATTGCCAAAAATCAAAAATTCAAGTGAATTTCTGTTATAGGAGTCATAAGGAATAAAAAAAAATTTTTTATATGATTTTTAAGCCTGTTTTCTTTGAAATGCTCGACAAAATACTGAAATAAAAAAAAAATAAAATATATCAATTGGTTGACCTATTATATATATACTACAGTTTTTATTCAAGTTTTTTCCATTCCTAACCCCTTGACATAATTCGATTTGAGTGTCAATGGATATACTAAGGTTTTCGGGGTCGCTGAATCCGAATTTGAGGTCAGATTTAAAAAATTCAAATTGGCGGACCTAATATGGCGTCCAAAAAATTAAAAAATTGACTAGATTTGCATAAAAATGGTTCCCTTAGGGTTTTTGGGGTCGCTAAATCCAAATTTGAAGTCAGATTTAAAAAATAAAAAACGGCGGACCCAATATGGTGGAAAATTTTGAAATTGATTCGCCATATTTGGTGCGGCCATATTAGGTCCGCCATTTTGAATTTTTAAATTTTGATATGTAATTTGGATTCAGCGACTTCAAAAACCACCGAGTACCAAATTTTGAACGAATCGATTCAACTTAAAATTTTTCCGCCATATAAGGTTCGCCATTTTGAATTTTTTTAATCTGACCTTAAATTTGGATTCAGCGACCCAAAAAACTTTTAATACGATGATATGATATTTTTTTGGACCGTTTTGTACCCACAAACGATTCTTCTACTAGACTGCAAAGGGGTTAATACAATAATATACTTATAAGGAAACTTTTTTCTTAAATCTTCCTTAGAAACTATGCTGTCTCCATTTACCCTAAATTTTATGAAATTTTCTAAATTTTGGGGTTAATGGGCTCAGTCAGTTTCATGCGTTTAAAGGTTATCTAAATTTTTTTCTGCTGCATAAAATTAATCCTGGGAATGTAAATAACAACTTTAAAAAAAATAAACCCGCAAATATTACCTTTTAGAGGAAGAAACTAATGTAATTTGTGAAAAATAGTTATTTTGTTCCGATTTACCTCAACTGACCCTGTTACAAATTATTAATGCACTGAAAAAAAATTATTTGATTCAAATAGGTAATCAGTTACTTGACAATTATCAAATAAATATTTATTTGTATCAAATAATTATTATTTGAATCAATTAAATGGATTTAAAATACAGAAATTATTTGTTTTAAATATAACAGTTTATTTGATTCAAATAAAAATTATTTGATTCAAGTAAATATTTATTTGATAATAGCCAAGAAACTGTTTATTTGAATCGAATAAATTTTTTTTTCACTGTAAAAATTAACATTCGTTTGTATCATAATAGACATCGATGTATATACACTAGAAAAAAAATAAAAATTATTTTAGGAAAATCGCTGAACGTGAAGACGAACTTTTTATTGTTGGTAATATTCTCAAATCTTTGGAAGTATCCGAGGAGAAGGCAAATATACAATTAAAATTTTTTTGTTTTACAATATAATATAAAATTTATGATTTTTATTTTATTTTTTAATTTGCCAGGCAAATCAAAGGATCGAAGAATTTAAAGATCAATTGGATAATCTTACGGCAAAACTAAATGAGGCAGAAAAACGTGCTATTTTTGCTGAAAAGTCGGTGAAACTTTATTTGAAAGAATTGGACAATCGAGAAGGTATTTTTTATATTTATCAATAACAATAATAATTTATTGTTAAATTTATATGAATTTAAAAAATAATTTTTAATATAAATATTTATAGATCGACTACGTAGAGAAAAAGAAAAATTCAAGTACATGTGTGACGATTTGGATTCAACTTTTGCAGATTTGACTGGTTATTAAAAAATCATTGTCTACATGAATAAACAAAAAATTTGAATAAAAAGATGGAAAGAAAATGGTTAAATTGTTACGCATATTATTATTGATAACATTAGTCATTTTTTCATTTTATTATTTGAAATTTGTATTATTTATATTTCTATAATTTAAATTTCCCGCCAATACACTTAACTTGAAAGAAATTTTTTATTAAAGAGGGGAAGTTCCTATTATTATTTCCATAAATATCAGGGTACGGTCACACTATCTCATGCATGCACTGTGCATGCATGCAGAAACATTTGAATGGTCACACTTCAACAAAATCTAGTGAATGTTTAGTAACTTTCTAGTAATTTTTCAAAAATTTCGGTTGTAACTAGAAAGTTACTAAACATTCACTAGATTTCGTTGAAGTGTGACTGGCCAAATGTTTCTGCATGCATGCACAGTGCATACATGAGATAGTGTGACCGTACCCTTAGTGGTATCAATTCAATAAAATTTAAAGGAAGATCTATAAAGGTGCATCTACAATAACTTGGAATCTGTACTTGCTTTGAATTGCTTGCATGCGCATGAAAAAATTTACAGTTGACAGATACAGATACTAATATTGCATATATAAAATTAATTAATTAAAACTAATTAAAACACAGGCCGATAAAATTTTGGTTTACTTCAGAACCAAGAACCAGACTATACTTTTTCGGAATATTTTGACTTGCTGAATCCGAATCTGATCACAAAATTGACTCAGCACGTCAGGTTTTTGAGATATTCTAACCTAAAAGTGCAGAAAAGACATTATTCGTCGTGGAACATTAAGTTATAATTTTTTTTTTCAAAAAGGTCCTCACAGCATATGAAAGAACTAGGGGAGACCGAGGAGGAAAGTAACAAAAATCAGTTTTTTTATGCTAGCATTAAAAATATTTGTCGGATAAATTTGTCCAATATATTAAATGAAAGCTTGGACATTCACCTTTTAAATAAAATTTGAATTAAACATTTATAATAAATTGACAGTTCACAGTATAACTTTTACGCAAGCTCTTCATCTGTTACTTTCCTCCTCACCCCCGAGGAGGAAAGTAACAAGCTCCTAGGAGGAAAGTAACAGTATAAAATTATGTAAAATTCTTTAGACTAATGACTATTATTAATTAGAAATATTTTTATTAGGAACACATAAAAGTTTAAGTACACTTTATACTTATTTGGCACATATTTGGGACATATTTAGCACATATTTCGAACATTTTATGAATTTAGCTCATTTTTTTTCTTAAAGATATTTTATGCTTACCTAGATCACAGGTTTTTCTTAAATAAATCTCTGTTATTCGTAAAATTAAATACGATTTGCTTCAATCATTAGTTAAAACATGGACAATATCGACAACAGGAAAAAAGTAGCGTGTTACTTTCCTCCTCGGTCGCTTTTTTCTTGTATGTCAACAAAAAAGTTAAAACTACACAAATGTTAAATTGTTTGTTTAAGCACAACTTAAAGACAGATAATAAGGCTACAAAATAACGAAAGGCACATTTTGAAAAACAATAAAATTAAAGAAATACGAGACTTTGAAAATTTGAACGAAAACTTACTTTTGACGTTTTTTCTGCACGTCACACCGGAATCAGACCTAACCTTTCCTGTCAGGCTCGGACACACTATGGAGGAGGAAGGGGAACAGTGCCGACTAAAAATATGTTTGAACCATGTCTATCCGATAATTTGTTTAAAAGCACGAAGTAGTATAAGGAGACGTAACGCCATGCATTCAAAGCAACCCCAAATGCGTGTCCTAGAGTTACTAAGGTTTTCGAATAATGCTCTTGTAGCGCCTCTACTGAGATAAATCGGAATCAAAATATGTCGTCTGCTATCGCGTAAAGAACTGTAGTTGACAGCAAAAGTGTTTTGATCATTATTAAAAGCTGTTGACGAATTAAAATAATCAAATAAATGTTAAAGATTAACGTTTTTTATATAACACTCGACCAAGTTAACAAACTTTCATTCTATAATAGGAAAGCATTAAAAAATAAAAAACACTTCGGAAATAATTAAAACTCTAATGATATAATATTAACAATAATAAAACAATAATAAATAATAAAAATTAAATACTGTTCGAGCCGAAAAAAAACTTCGATTTTCTCCATTTTTTTCTTCTTTTGTAGTTATTTTTGATCCACATCCTTTTATAAAACATGACATTTCACTGATAACATTAACAAAGCACAAAGTGCAAGCGCGAAACACCGGTTCAAGACAATTTGTCAGCACATGCGAGCACGTGATAAATTTTAATTCTCTATTTCTCCACGCGCGGCGTCCTCATCGCATTATTAGAAAAATGCGTAAACTCTAGGACACGATTTTGGGGCTCACTTTCACCACAATCTACTATCGCGTTACGTCTCCTTATACTACTTCGTGTTTAAAAGTTATAAGCTTTGTTACTTTCCTCCTCGGTCTCCCCTATTCTTACCCTCTAAATCCAATATTTGTATTTCAAAATGCATTTTAAAGAGTAAAAATAATACTTTCAGATGTTGTAACGACCTTTTTGAAAAAAAAAATTATAACTTAATATTACACGACCTCAAATATGTCCAAAAAACATCTTTTCTGCACTTTTAGGTTAGAATATCACGAAAACCTGACCTGACCGTTATTAAAAATATTTTGTTCAAAACATAATAAACAAATAAAATTTTTATTTTTTATATTTTTTAAACAAACCATTATTTAACAAAAACACAAAATCAGAATTGAAGAGAATCTTTCAAAGAGAAAAATGAGCCATTGTTTATAAAAATTGGTTAAAAATTAGAATTGTTCACTAACTACTTTTAAGAAAAAAATACAAAATATTTATTAATTATTATTTAACAACAAATTTTAACTCAAAATAATTTTTTTCTAAAATTGTACAATTGGATCTGTCGAATTTGGATGCAATAAATTTTAAATATATTTTTAGTTCTGTTAAAAATTACTTTTTAGTTTTAGGTTATGTTAATGGGTTGAACTTACTTAAATCAAGTAAATAATAAGTTACATAATTAATTTTAAGGAAATAATTAAATGTATTAATTTAATTTTTCTAATTAATTAATTAATAACACAAGCCTGCAAAAAAATATTTCCGTTGTCAGAGATCGGGAAGTCATTTCCCGTAGTTTTTGGTGCTTTGAATCCGAATCTGGCAATAAAAAACCTTCCATCACGTCAGGATTTTGAGAAAAGTGGGGGTAACAGTTTCAAAAATCATGTTTTTGGCAGTTTTTGAAAATTTCTACCGGGTAAATCCGACGTGCTACAGCCTTGTCATAGGAGTTAAATTAAAGTTTGAACCCTATACTTTACGACGATATAGCGATATTGACAACAAAATAAATTAGCTGTCAAAAAAGGTTCTTTCAAGTTGTCAAGCATAAAAATTGACTCACAACTGTTCGTAAATACAACTATTTTAAAAAATACTAGGATTCGCTTGGAATTTGTCACTTGGGGGTTTTCGGGGTCGCGGATTACGGATATGGCAGATTTTCAAAATTCAAAATGGTGGATCAAATATGGAGGAAGACTTTTATAAACTGGATTTAATCCGACATATTGGATCCGCCATTTTGAATTTTGAAAATCTGACATATCCGTAATCCGCGACCCCGAAAACCCCCTAGTGACAAATTCCAAGCGAATCCTAGTATTTTTTAAAATAGTTGCATTTACGAACAGTTGAGTCAATTTTTATTTTTTTTGCAGGCTTGTGTAATTATAATGAATAATATAAATTATAAAGTATAGTTAACATTTAATTTTTTTTAATTTATTAATTAAATTTTTTTTATTACTGCGGTTTCTGAGTTTAAAGAAATGTATAGAAATATTAAAGTAAAATTTTCTAATTTTTAAATATATGATGAAGGATATCAAAAAATATATATAAGTATGCATAAATTGTTTAAATTTATATATTTTTTTTCGTTTTATGTGAATATTGCAGTGTAAAATGTAAAAAAAAACAAAATATAAACTAAAAGTTATGAATATTTCAATAATAATATTAAAATATGTACTCACTCTTGAATAAAAACACTTTTTGCATATATTTGTTCCCATAAGATGTACATATACTAAAACCATGTTTACTTGAATGTTAATTTTAATTATATAAATATTAATTAAAAGTTTCGAAAAATCTTCTAATCATTTATCAAACGGATGGAAATCACTATGTATAACCACACTAAAGGTGCTTTTATACCTCAAATTTCGATCAGATGAACATTATTTCTGGACCGTGAAAATGCGTGAAAAGTCATTTTCACGGCGGGTATTTTTGAATTGTTTTAAACAAAAAAAGTTTTTTTAAGAAATATAATATTAAATAATTGTTTTAATATGTAAGAACACTTTAAAATAGTGATAGAAAGATGATTTGATTGAAAAATTTAGCAAATTTTGCTTTAAAACGTTTCCTGCTACAAGAAAGTATAAAATGACGATGTTTGTGAAATGGTTTGTACAGTGTACATGTGTACATGTTTCTTTCAGTTATTCGAAACAATTAGTAGAATTTAAATTTATTTGATAAACATTTCAACTTACCGATTTATTTTCAGCACTCATTATTTATTACAAGTTAAAAAGAAACGACATAACATAAACAAAACTCTGACAGACACTCACAAGGAAGAAGCACTGTACAAACCATTTCACAAACATCGTCATTTTATACTTTCTTGTAGCAGGAAACGTTTTAAAGCAAAATTTGCTAAATTTTTCAATCAAATCATCTTTCTATCACTATTTTAAAGTGTTCTTACATATTAAAACAATTATTTAATATTATATTTCTTAAAAAAACTTTTTTTGTTTAAAACAATTCAAAAATACCCGCCGTGAAAATGACTTTTCACGCATTTTCACGGTCCAGAAATAATGTTCATCTGATCGAAATTTGAGGTATAAAAGCACCTTAACTTGCGAATCACAAGATAGCAGGAGTATATAACAATATGGCGACCGTGTTTCAATTTGAAGCACATGGAAACGACTTTTCTACA